GCTCGCAAGAGAGAGCTGCATTCAAAAAATATCACAAATTAGAGAATTTGCCTCTAACGGGATGCGTTCCATGTCAGTGCATGCATATGCATGTGTAGGGGAGAGCAACAAATTAATGGTAAGCATTCAATAGTAGCAAGACACCATAAACCATCAAAGTTGGAGACCTGAGAAAGTGCAGCCGGGAGATTATTTATTGTGAATCGCCCACTAGACCCACTGCCTGAAACTTGCTGAACGCCACCTGGTGGTCCAGAAAGCATTGCTGAATTTCTTGATCCAAATGTACCACCCATGTTGGAGATGTTAAAGTTCCCATGGATCCCATGGAGCCCTTGCATGTTTCCTGCAAGTTGCTTATAAATAACTAAGTCATTCATGAGAAGCAGAAAGTTGATCATTCAAGCAACCCTATACCGCCAGAGTGATTCAAAACAGTTACCAGAACCAGTCTGGGATGGAAAAGCTCTTCCAGTAGCATCTGGATTATTTGAATTTGATCCGTTCATTCCAGACTGCATCTAGACATTTCAAACAAATTTTAAGAACCAAACCAAAATACAAAAATCGTGCATAAACTGAGCAACCTCGAATTCCAATTTTGCTTCAAGTTCTATTTTCTGGAATCATTCATCTAACTTCATATAACTCAAGTCATAATTAATTCTAATTTTGCTTCAAGTTCTATTTTCTGAAATCATCCATCTAACTTCATATAACTCAACTCATAATTCTTGGTTTAGCATAAGCAAAACTGCAAGGAAACTCAATATCAAGCACTTCTGCACAACATAAGAGAAAGTTTCTTTAAAAAACAAAGGCAAAAACATTCTGTGAAGTGGAGCAAAACTTGTAACAAGGTAGTGCGAAAGAAAGAGTACATTGAGTAGCCCCGACACCAAAAAATCTTCTCAATATCAACTGCAGGGCATAGTTCTTCACCTAGAGTTTGTTTTTGATATTCTTATCAGACCTTGTCACAAACAACTGCAAATGTAAGTGTTAAAGATGCAATGAGATATAATTGATAAAATATTTAATGCATAAAAACAATAAAAGCCAACATTACACAGAAACCTCAATTTAGCTAGCGAGCAACTTAATGAAAATGTTGACATTATTCATCTACAGTTATTGTGCCTGAAGCCAAGATAGGAAATGCCTCATCAACACAGACACCGGCGTGCATTATGTAGCTGTCAATCTTCAAAAGCCACAGAAACTAACATCGCTGAGCCAAAAACAGACACTGATTTACATCATTTCTGCCTCAGAAGTATACCTTAAACTATGGCAAATACCTTAAGATTGAAGGAAATGCCCGTAAAGCCAAATATCTTAATTATGAATTAGATACAATCTATCAATCTTTGAGAAAGTACCTCATATTAAAATCAGGAAGGATCTATTTAATACCACTATAATGAAACTGAATTCAACACAACCATGTGTCGTTTGGACTAGCTTTTGTTATGGTATCCTATTCAATTTCTTGACAATAAGTCTTCAAATCTGTTTCCTTCTTTTGAGAGAAAAAGAAAAAACCAAAGAAAAATCTGTTGCAAAATATACTTCTTTTCTTGATTTCACCTAACAGAAAAGGACGAGTTTAAGCAAGTTTTACACTTTCCAAACGGAAAAATGAAAAAAGAGAACCACAAAAAAACCAAAAACAAGTAAACCCCAAAAGAGTAAAGCCTTCAAAATTAGTCTGTTTTATTCTGTCACCTAGCAATTTTGCATGCCATGAAATTCAAATGAAATGCGCATGCAATCGAAAATAACCACAAATCTTTAAAGGAACAACCCAGAGATGGAAAAAAAGAAAATGAAAATGAAGAATCTAACTTTGATCATTCCATCCCATTAAGAACTTTCCCAGATTAAACTCAAACAAAATACAGAAACCAATTTCACCCAAAAAAAGAAATTGAATCTCGACAATGTAAAGAAAATGCAGATTTACCCTGATTACCCCCCACCCCCAAAACAACTCTTATCCAATCTAGATAATCACATATATCTCTTCAGAAATGGGGCCAAAAAAAAGAAAAAGAAAAAGGAAAAAAATGCTCAGCCGATGCCCAATTACCCATGCCCATCAACACTTGAACAAGAACGGAAAACGAAAAACAAAAAGCAACATGCAGATAAGAATTTCATCTAAAAACCCAACAAAACATCAATTAGATACAGCAAACCAAGAACAGAAAAAATAAAAGTTCAAATCCTACACATCAAACAAGAATCAACTTAACGAACCCAAAATTAAAGACCCAAACTTTCATCATTTCCTACACAGGAGAAAACCTCACAAAATCAACCCAATGTGTGCTCCCAAAGCAAGAAAAAGTTTTTGTGTAGATAAGTTAATTCTTTTTTCTGTAACGGAGAAAGTTACCTTAAGCGGCGACAAGAAAATCAACCGAGAATGCGAGAATGACGGTGATGATGAAGTCACCAGAATTGGACTGAGTTGAGTGAGGAGTGAGGAAGACGGGAGTTTATCTTTGAATTGCTTCAGAAAAGGAGCCCAGCAATTGTACAGCTACTACTGCTTGCGGCTATATATATATGCATAGTGAATGCTTGCGGTTGCGGGTGGCCAAGAAACGGGTCTAGCATGTTGGAGTTGTATTTTGGATAAATTTGCAGTGTGAGTACTTGAGTTTTTATATATTTCTTAATTTTACCCTTTTAAGTTTTGATATAGACATCATTTATACTTATTACACTTCAAGGAGATGAACGAGTCTCATTGATTTGAGTACGATGGAATTTAAGTTTTGTTTGGATCTCTGCACTATTCAGGGTGCGGAGTCAATAGATTAAGTTAGAGGTTTCGAATTAGACACCTACCACTTACACTAAAGAAATGAAACAAAAGAAGAAGAAGAAGTAATACAATGTTTCGATCGAAAATTGAGTGAATTGAGTGATGATTTCGGGAGTCTTAAACAATTTTTCATCACTAAACGATTGAATTCTTTTTTTGATTCAGTATTTAAGGACATAAACAAGTCTAATTATTGAGGCTTAGTGTCAGGGCGTTTAAGTTCGATTTATTCTTTTTTAGAACTAGTTTAGGGTTTAATACTGGATTAAGCGCTGTTCAAGGTAATTCAATCTATTTACAAATAAATAAATCTTAGTTTAAAAACTTGCTTTCTTTATATGTGTTTCTTTAAATGTATATGCCTATTATTTTCCAACCATTTATAATGAACATGTATCACCATCAATCCATAAATGAATAAGTGATGGGAGTGTACAAAATACAAATTTGTTTTACACATGGAAAGTTATTTATTTTGATCCATTTAAAGTTTAAACTGCTTCTTTCTCCATTTGCAAAGAAGAATTTTTTTAAAAAAATAAAGTTGTACTCTTTATAATCTTTTACTGGCATGCATATCAAATGGTTTTCTTATGAAAAATTCACAAGGTTGCTGTAATAATTGAAATTCCCTTGAGATTTTTGAAATTCTTATGATGTTTCTCTATATTGATAACCCAATTGAAATTTGCTAGCATAAGAAGAAACACAACTTTACAAGGATCCAAATTTTACAAGTCCAGTGAATAAGAGATGGGAAGTCGTTGAAAATTAACATGGCTTTTGGGTAAGACAGAACTTTCAACATGGAAGCATCAAGACTTTTAATTATACATACAGTAGAATAAAGAGAGACATACTTCATGGTAGGCAAAATCGAAACTTGTTATTCATTTTTAGAACGTTTCATTACCTTTTACCCCTACATAAGGTACTAAGTTATGACAAGCAATTGAAGTCGCAATATAAGTACTAAAAATTTTAGGCTAAACTAGCACTTCAAAAAAAAAAAAAAGAATTTTTTAATGCGAAATTGCCTCTATATGCATTTAGGGATAACTCTCTTTATTTGTCTCTTCAATTTGTTCAATTTTTCTAACTCTTACATTGGCTCTAAATTGTTGTATTATTAAAAGAGTAAATCTTTCCTACACTGATGGTGTATACAGTACTATCATCGTTTAATTCATGACATGTGTGCAAAAGTTGAATTTAAAATTCAAATTTTTCATAGTTGTCATTCATCCAATGCTGATAGTATATAATGGAGGAAATTTCTAATAGCGATAATTCTATACATACGCGTGAGTATGAAATATTTAGTAGTTCTTGAGTAAAGTGTTTGCCTTCATAATTTGGAATTGTTCATTGCTTTTTAAGTTGAGCTATACAAGTTTAACCAATGTTATAGTTTTTTTTTTCTTTTTGTCATTTTTAATAATAGTGAATAAGAATGGGATTCTTGGAGCTTGTTTTAGAATGTTAATATCATTTGCCAAATTTTATTCTCAAACCAATAACTTTGAACAGTGCATGAGTTCACTTATATGCCCATTCCAATAATTTAATGACAAGATTATTGAGTTAAATATTCAATCTTATATGCATTTGTTTGATTATAAGGAGTTTATACATCATCCTATTACTGTTTTTCAATACCATGTTTTCTTTCTTTCCTTTTTTTTTTTTTACAAGAAAAATTAATCAGCACTAGATCTTGACCAGTATTGCCACCTTGGAGTTGTGAAACAATTAAATTATTGGTCGAGTGTACGTAACCTTAATAAACTTTAATAATGCGTGAGCAGCTTTGTCCATACGCAAGAGAGCCATTCCCAACCCTGCAATATTTCCATGAATAAAGGGCAAAAGTAGAACAATTCTTGGAAGATATCTTGTCCGAAACACAAATAAAATATTTTATCACAAAACGAAAATATATATCACAAGACGTACATTCATTTATATTCTAGTGAAGATTAAATAACAAGAAATATGATTTATTTCCTATTTTACCCTTGGAGAGGGTTAAAATAGCAAATAACAACTGCTATCATCTGATAGCATCCTTTTGCCGGCAAGTGATACGTGGCAGCAACCAAATCAAAATGCAGAATAAAATAGTAGTGTTAGTATTCAAACTTCAAACACTAATTAAGAAAAGCCTTCGCCACTGGCCATACACAAACCACTTGCGCAACGCTGCTTGGTCCTTACTCCACCAAACCTTCTCCGCCTACGGCCACAATGGACGGCGGAAGCCAGTCACACGAGTCTGATATCTACGCTGTTCTGATGGATCGGTTTCATAGTCTCCAAGCAAGCCACGAGAAACTCAAAGAACAGTTCAATATTCTCCTGCAAGAAAAGAGCATTGCCGGTGGATTTGGAAGTACAAGTAGTAGAGTTGCACGAGTGAGAAACTCGGTGGACGAAGTTATGAATATGCAAGAAGATTCGTCAGGTGAGTTGGCGGGGGAAGATTCCAGCTGGGCTAGCTATATTCATGGAGCTTACTATTCAGGGAGTCCGTACAAGAACGTGTTAGAGTGCATGGGTCATGCAGTTCATATCAGTCGAGCTGGCTCTGAAGAGATCATTTACTGGTGACTAATTACTTATAAGATTTTAGTTCAGTAACTAGATATCGTTATGGAGTTACTAATTTTGTTGTTAATATGACTTTTTCTTTATTTAGTCATGCATTGGTCGAGCATTTTCTCTCGTCCCTCTTTGTCCTTGATTCTTTCTTTATTGAATTTTTTTTGTTGTTTACCTTGTTGATCTGGCAGCTATATATGTTCTGATATGGGATGTGAAATAAGTTTGTTGCTTGCGTACAGGCACTTAATTTAGTTTTTTAAGTTTTTCTTGAAGCCTTTGTTGAGATGTTGGGTTCTATATATCTTAGGCATTTGAAATCTTGTAGCACTAGGTTTCTTAATTTAATTCCAATAGACCTTTGTAACTTAATGAATACTAGGTAGACTTGAGAGCTCAGATCAGTTTTGATTTGTAGTCTACTCTAACTTTACATGCTGTCCTGCGCTCTTGATTCTCTATTCGAATAATGCGCTAGCGGTCGAGACTGAGAATACAATAACTGGAGCGTGGACTTGATAAATCTAGTTATGTTTATGATTGCTCCATGCTGTATATTTTTCTATTGATGTAGCAGACTAGATCTTGAGAAATTAAAGAAGAATCTGCTGGATAAAGTAATTGAGAGGCAAGCTAGATGAACATTAATTACTGAGTTTGTGAAAGATTGGAAGATAGGAACTGGATAATTTTTAGCACAAATATTGATAGCCATTAAGATTTTAGCAGTAGTCTCCTTTTAGATATATAGATACTTGTTATCTCATCCAAATGCACGTAGTAGTAGGATTTTAAGGATGCTAGTACAAGGTTCTATTGCTATAAAATGACATATTGTATCTCAGCCTCAAGCATTGGAGTTACGGGTGCTAATCACATTTCCCTATGACTCGTACTTCATTTGGCCAAGCCTAAGGCTTGTATTGGAGGATTAATGAGGCAGCACTGTGATATAAAGAGAGCAGATGCTTGGCATTCCGTTGGATTAATTGCTGTAGTTAGTTTTGTCCGGATGATGTAATCTGCATGTTCTTCTATTTTTGCTTGCTTATGTTCTATAAGGGAAAAAAATTCTCCCTTGCAGGAATTCATCTGCTGAAAAGCTCTTTGGATACAAAGACTACGAGGTATTGGGACAAAGAGATGCAGTGCTGATCATTGATGAAAAGCGTCATGCATTGGCGCGGAAAATCATGGACAGGTTGAGCTTTGGACGGTCTTGGGCAGGTCAGTTTCCTTTCAAGAAGAGATCAGGCCAGATCTTTGTGGCAATAGTTACGAAAAGCCTGCTGTATGAGGATGGCGAGCTTGTTGGCACCATCACTGTTTCAAGTGATGCAGCTGTCTTTAATAATCTACATTTAGAAAATACAAGAGTAGGCCAAGACCCTACTGATGGTAAATCTAGAGGACGAGGAATAAATCAGAAAAGAATCCAGTTGCGTGCACAACCACAGATTGCATCATCTGTTTCCAATCTGGTGCTTATTCTTTGTTATGGCATTAAGTTTCTTTTCTGCTCCTCCCACTTGTTTTGTTTTGGTTGAATACATTATAATTTACTAGTTTCACTGCATTAAACAGGCCTCAAAAGTATTATTGCGGAAGCATGAAGACAGTGGATCTGATGGAAGTTCCAATATTAGGGAAAAGGAGCAAAATGAACTGGACAATGCATATCTAAAATCTGAGAGGCCACCTAGAGCACCAGTAAGATTTGATTCAACTTGCAAACTTTTCTTCAATCTGGCGTGAAGGAAGAGTTATGAGCTAACATCAATTTTATAGGCAACAAGACCGCAAGTTAATTGTAAGTCTCCCAATGCGAAGAATAAAATTGATGGAGATGGCTTTGAAAGCGAAGAATCCACAAGTGGATTTCCTCAGCCATTAAAACTTGTATTATCTCCTTCCCTCATGTAATTGTAGTAAATATCAAATTGTTCCATTCTTTGGTACTTTTTCAGTGGGGATTCATTTGAAGCATCATTTATATAATGAACAACTTCCTTATGTCTGTAGGCCGAAAAGGTATTAGCGAAGCTTCACATTGGGGGTATTGCCAATCTTAATAAGAACAAAGATGCAGTTGTCCAATGTAACAGCTTGAATGGTATGTCATGCAGCAAAGTATTGGTCGAGTCATCTTCACCTGGAGCACCACAAGCAACACAAGCAACTAGCTCACATAACGGTATTGTTGATGATGTGAATCACAATGAAGAACATGTTATAAAAGGTGTCTCTTCTGCAGCAAAAGGATTGTCGAGAAGATCACTAACAATATCTGATGATTTGACAGAGGACTTGTATCCTATAACTGCACCTGTCCGAGTTTCAGAACAGTTGCAGACGTCAGACTTGCAAGACTTGAATACAAATGGGCAGAATTTGGAAATGGAGATTGAGGATACACTACAACCTCAACCAGATATTCAACGGTTCCCGAACTCAAGGGAGGATAGTGGAAGCAGCATTGGTAGTCCATCAAGCAAAGGTGATGATGAATCAAACTTGATTGTACATTGTGAAATCCATTGGGAAGACCTGCAATTACGAGAGCAAATTGGCCAAGGTAAACTTATAGGATATTGCTTCTGCAAAAAATTGAAGATGTTCTCTGCCTTAATGACCACAAGTTGGCCATGTTTGGCTAGTGGACAGTATTTGATGATGAAATTTGAACTAAAGATTGCACAAAATGTTCCATCTTTGGACGTGCTTGATGAGGGGAAATCTGGTACATACCAAAAAGATCCTCACTGCTATGAAGTCCAACTGATTCAGTTTTGGATCATAGATATCTGAATCCTTCACTCACATAAAACACGAGTTTTCTCCTTAGTTCACATGAAAAAAATTGCCAAACATCCATCATGTTACCTGATTTTTCCCGAATAACTCAGATACCATATATCGTTGGTCTGCTCATGGTTGACTAGAGTCCTTTTTCTCGTTTAGGTTCATTCGCTGTTGTGTATCGTGGAATCTGGAATGGATCAGTATGTCTTCCAACTCTAAGAGTTCCTAACTGTGATTGACTTCTCATCAGGTTGACATGATGGTTCTCTGCATGCCTTTTTCCTTTCTTAGGATGTTGCAGTTAAGGTTTATTTCGGGAATGAATACAATGACCAGACTCTACTCAGTTACACTCAAGAGGTATTTGATGCAGGCAGTATGTCCATGACTGTTGTAATTTTTGTTCTGGAAAGAAAATGTTCCTTAATTCAATCTCCAACATGCACTTCAGCTTTATATAATGAGGACACTGAGACATCCAAATGTGCTGTTGTTCATGGGGGCAGTATGCTCACAAGAAAAACTGGCTCTGGTAACAGAATATTTGCCAAGGTATCTGGTAGTCTTCTGTGAAAATTGCAACTCTATTGACCTTCAGCAGAAAATGTCTATCAGTAGTAGAGCTCTATTTTCCAATGCTTGAATCAATGTGTCTGTTCCATTGGCAAACTGGTGCTACTATCTTGTCTGGCACATTGACTATGGTCTCTTACCAGGGGAAGTCTCTTTAAAGCACTACACAAAAGTAATCAGCAATTAGACATCAGACGTCGTCTGAGGATGGCTCTTGATGTGGTTGGTTTCTGCTTAAAATTTTCCAGTTTCCTCCATTTACTTTTAATCCTTGGGATATGTAACCTCATTAAAATTCTTCTGAAATTTGTAATTGTATATTTCTCCTTTGGCTGCAGGCAAGAGGTATGAACTATTTGCATCACAGAAACCCACCAATCGTACATAGAGATCTCAAATCTTCAAACCTGCTTGTCGATAAGAGCTGGAATGTCAAGGTACTGTTACCTGATTTAGCCTGCGATTTATATGTTTATTGAAAAAATGATTAGAGTTTCGTTTTGACAGGTTGGAGACTTTGGCCTGTCAAAATTGAAGAATGCGACCTTCTTAACAAACAACTCTGGGAAAGGAACGGTAGATATCCTCATATTATTTCCTTTTTGTTCTTTTGTATACCTCGATCATTCTATCTGTAAGGTAATTTTTTTATCTACACTTAAACTGTTGTTGCTGCTGCAGCCTCAGTGGATGGCTCCCGAAATCCTTCGAAGTGAACCTTCAACGGAAAAGTAATTTCAAATTATAAGACTTTTCAGTACTCGACATTAAAAAACTGCAATTTTTTATCTGTTGTGATTATTTGTCATGCTTTTGCCACTAGCGATACCTAATCTTTATGGTCTATTCTCTGTATCATCTAACAGCAGGATGAGGGGGGAAAAGAATCAAAAGAGAGAACTAGGCTGTCCCAGTATTGAGAAGTTGATCATACTGGACTAATATTACCATCTCTTATGGTTCATAAGAGTTCCTTCCTTCTTTTGCTTTTTGTATGGGGTTAATTTAAACATTTGAGAAACTAATGCAGAACATAGTTGGTGAAGTTAAGAAGCTTTTAAAGCAATTCATTTTATCTTAGGCACATGATGTTAAGGAGGTTTGGCAACTGACTTATTTTCCCGTTGTTTTAATAATGTGACAGGTCAGATATCTACAGTTTTGGAGTCATACTGTGGGAACTGATGACTGAATCCATACCATGGAAGAACCTGAACTCGTTGCAGGTAGATGTTGGACAAAGTTTATTTCTCAATTGCGAGTGCTTGTTTTTTGGCAAGTCTTAGTCTGAAGAAGCGGATGTTAGACAATAAACAAAAGAAATGATATCTGCAGTTTCTCTCGAGTTGATTCAATTCATTAGTACTTGTCTTTTCACTTAACAGGTTGTGGGAATTGTCGGCTTCATGGACCGCAGACTGGACCTTCCAGTAAACCTTGATCCCGAAATTTCATCCATCATCCGTGACTGCTGGCACAGGTTTTCTCTTCATTCCGTGGTGTCCTTCACTTTTGTGGTCAAATCATGGAAATGAACATAGCTCTCGTATTATGCTAACTCGTGAACTGATGCAGCAAACCAGAAAACCGTCCATCATTTCAAGATATTATCCAGAAAATAACAGATTTAATTCAAACTGGAGCAAATGCAAGGAGGAGTCCAGGGCTTTGAAGCTGCTGCAGGGCTCGCGCTCGTGTATAATAGTAGTAGCAATACAAATGCAAGTCTTCCAAAAGTATGGAGGAACTAAAACTATCGCCAGACTTAACCAATAATATGGTGTACAAGTCCTTTAAGTTCACACAACATATTTGTTGATCGAGAGTTCCCATCTTTCTACTTTCCCTCCTTTTGTTTTCGTGTCAAGGAAAGATGAAAAAGGCTTTTGGAAAATGGAAATCAAAGAGATAAAATAGTAGCCTTAACAAAGAGTTGCATGAGAGTTTGAAGGACTTCATTACAGTTAATGAGTTTTAGCAGACATACCTGCAGATTTGGGCCATTATGAGAAAGGCCCAATCTCACAGCGTCAGCATTGCAATATGCAGATACTAAACTGTGCATGCGTTCATTGTTTTTTTTTTTTTTTTTTGGCTTTTTCGAAAGAAATTGTATAGTTATTGAGGTTTAGCATTATTTCGAATATCAAAATTTTTTTGTATTTTCAAAGTCACATTACGTGCAACTTTTCTCCTATTCGGTTCAAAGGTAATTTGATTTCATTGACTTCCCCTTTCATTTGGTTTGTATGCGACACCAGCATCTAGTGGAATGGAAAGGTGCATGTAAAATTGTGGTCATTGTTTATTATGAGGTTATGAATTCTTTTCTTTCAAAGAATTCAAAAAATTAATTCTGAAGTTTGTTCATCCATATGCGAATCATATTTTAGTCAAATTCAGTTAGATGGGATTGATCTCTCCTCCAAAGTATCTTGTGCTTTGCAATGAACCCTCTCCCCAAAGGAACACCCTTTATTTCTATACATTTTATGCTTAATTCAAGCTACATTCCCGTGGCTTTTGCACGAGCAAAACCTCAATTTTTACCTACCATGAAATACCTCCTTAAATCAAACTAATACTAATACTAAAGAGTTACTACCCTTTTAGGGTGAAAAAAACCAGTTGACTCTCGCACTATTGAATTTGTACGCTTTAAAGCCTTCAACTATTATGTATATACTTTTTAATTTTTTAACTTCTGTAAATGTATATTTTAACCCTTTTCTTTATTTTAATCGTCATTTTTAACAGAGTCTACCTCAAAACAACATAGCATCAATCGTCTTCTCCATTCAATTAACAATTATGCCTGTTTATCACGATAACTATTGATTGTAGGTGAACTGTTATTAAATAATAGTAGTTGATCACTAATCTATATTGTCAAATTTAGATGAAATTACACTTTTGGATTTTGTATTTTGCATAGATTCCAAATTTGGACACGATTTTTTGTGAATCTTTGAAATAACAAAAAATGTTATTTTACCACCATTTTATGATTCCTTTATCAAAATTTTCAAACTTATACAAAAGAATTGTATTTCTTGGAGTGTGAAGAGATCAATTCGACAAGGATTTCATTTAAATTTTCGCCACACAGCTTAGCATATCATGATCATTTTCAACTATTTCAAGGCTCGTTTAGTGTCAAATTCTCTAATATTTTATATCATTGAATTGCGAAAATATATATTGTTTACTTGGTCATATCTGCATTGAACAGAAAAAAACCTCAATTTTAAACTCTTTGATCATTTTTGCATTAACCCTCCAATTTGGACTATTCCTTTGTACTTTGTTAATATACTAGGTCTTCAATTTTTATTCATGATGTAGGCCCTGTTTGGTCCTTGAGTTTTTTATCAAGTTTGTCTACTACAAATTTTTTAAAAACTTTAACTACAGTAATCTCAAAAAACTTCTCAAAATTTTTAAACTATATACACTTTAAAATATTCAAAAATTTACACACTTCAAAAAAAATTTAAAAAATGTGTACAATAAAATACATTAAAATTTTAGATAAATATTTAAAAAATTCACTTGTGAAACGGTGTCTGCAGTTTCATTGACTTTAATAGCTTAACATCCTGGCCCGAAAGTTTGCTTTATAATACTCTGTAGCACTTTTTAAGAAACAATTCTTAAAGGGTTACTCCTCATTAGTCATTACTAGATTATTCCAAGAAATTCACCAAAAGTTGGAATTGGGGTGGGGCATTCTCAACATTTTAGGCAAGAACTTTGCCAAAAAATGAGATCTCAAAAGGTCAATCAAATGGCCAGCCAGCCTACGGGCTACAGGGGCCAGAAATGAGACAGACGACAAAAGAGAGTAGAAAATCTTGCTCATTAAGTGTTAATGCAATTTCTGAATCAGGCAATCTGGCGTCTCTGTACCTTCACCGCCGATTAGTCTTTCGTGAAGGACATCATAGGGTAGGCAGCATCCCCGTAACAATCGAGCACCATACAAAAAAGAGGTCAGCTTTGGTGCGTCAGAAATTTTTATAGTCTCAAAGGGGCAGATGGGACGTCTCATTCAAGACATTAGCCATTTCCCGTACAACTTGAACAAGCAAAGCCCCATCGCAGTTCAATTTCCCACCTGTGGATTGAGAACAAAAAAAAAACGAAAGAAAAAATCTCATATATGACAATATGGCAATTTATTACTAGTAGCATTCCTATAATTACCATGCAAATAGGGGAGGAGGGGCTGGAACGGCTGTCTCTGACAATCGTTCCAAAAGGTTTACGGGCATGATTAGGTCAAAAAAATTTATGCGACTCAGATTACTCCTTGTAACTCGATTTTCACGTCGTGCGGGATCTATAAAAATGTTGTTCTAGTGTTACTCGCTGTTGTTCTATTGTTACGCCTTATATAGATGATGTTACACCGTGTGTAAATGGTGTTACACCTTCCGGAACGATTGCTCTGACAGCCGTTCCAGCCCCCGAATCCGCAAATAGGATAGTGACGTAGTACTAGTTTGTAGTTCTGAGCTAGCGTCTAACTCTGAATGGACGAGGCGACTAGTTTAGTACTAGTTAGTTTGTCGTTTGGATGGTTGATTATTTTTTAAAAAAAATTTAGTCATATATTTTTTAAATTATTTTTTTATTTTATATACATAATATCATAAAAAGTAAAAATATAGTTGTATTATTCTAAATTCTTTTAATATAATCAATTATCCAAACACATGCAAGTTAACCACGGATCTTACCGAGAAAACTAGGCTACCAACTTAAGCATTATTAGGGGATTTTTTAGTATAATCATAATTGATGGACCTAGATAAGAAACTTGTCTAAATGCTACTATTGAGGAGGGATTTGAACAAGTTGTTTCTGAATAAGGAAAAAACTATAAATTTAAATGAATTAGAAGAAGGCGATCAAGCAGCATGAATTTTCTGCTTCACATAATTAAAGCGTAAACAAGTGTCCACCCATGATTTCTTCGGCAAAAGATGAATGAAGAACGAATGAAGCAGGGGCACCAATTATAAAAATTCCAAAGTTCTGGTGAATAAAATGGATTGGAGAAATTTTTGATGTAACCAGTGTGTTTGAATACTCGCAACTCATTAATTGAAAAGATTATTATATATTACAACACTCTTAACACTTTTATAGATGTGATTTATGTGAAACGTTAAATAATTTTTTTCAAATATTGAGATGTCCAAATTATTACCTGCATAGTATCGTTAAACCATTCTCAAGGATATACATATATTTGCGGAGTCATACTATTTATTACGCCTACTAGCTTATATTAATAGCTCAAAAACAAAGCTAGTTAAACTTCGATCACTTATTCTCTTGTGGAATCATACGTGTTTCAAATAGGGATGCTATTGAATCGAGTTGCTTGCGAGGGGTTCGTTCAAAAGCTTGACTCACACTTGATTTTGATCGAATGCGAGATGAGTACGAGTAGCTCGATAATTATTCAAGTCGAATTCGAGTATTGTTGTTTTTTTAAGGTCGATAACTCGTCGAATCCTATCGAGTATAAAGTAATTAATTAAAAATTATATATTTAGTTGTTACAATTTTACTCTTTTAAGGCTGAAAATTATATAAGTTACTAGAATTATTCTTTTAGTCGTGTCAAGTATTCGAGTTTAATCATACTGACAAGAAAATCGAGTATAATCGAATCGTCTCGAGTTTTCGAATCATTTTTCGAATTCGAGTTCAAACTCCACCTTTGCTGCTCGGTCGAATTCAAGCTCAAGTAATACCTTTTTACTATCGAATAAAGTCAAGTATCGAATCAAATTCAAGTATTGCGATACTCGTGCTTGGCTTGATTCGATTACATGTCTAGTTCCAAAGTAGTACATTGCTCTCAAGGGATCAGACATTGAACGACTAGCTGTCCAACAAGATCGAGAACAGCGTGCACGTGGAATTTGGACGGCGAACGTCTCCTTTTGTTGACCGGATATGATTTCTTCATTTCACACTTGGCATCCAACAGAAATTTATGCACGGGGCTGCCTATATACGACTCTGTGGGCACTACTTAGGAGGTTGGTCGGAGTCTTGACAGAAATGATTGACGATCAAAGTGGGAAATAATTTTACCACTTGAAGACTCCATGCTGAAAAGATCACCAAGTTTCTGGCTGAAAAGTTCACAGCGGAAAAGCTTCATTAACTGTATAAAAAGGTTAGTAACTTTTATGGAGAGGTCGTATCTGTTATCAATTCGAACTTGCAAGTTGCTCGGTTGATAATTTGATTTAAACTCGTTTTGATCGAATTTAAATTTAAATTTGAACTACTCGAAAGTACTATTGAATCAATTTTGCGTTTAAAAATTGATATTTGAGAACTCCACAAGTTTTTATTGAGTATTGCATTAGCTAATTAAAAAATAAATATCAAATATGATTATACATGTATACATACACGCGTAGAAATTGCCAATACAGACTTAACATTGTTCTTGATATGTTTGAACTCGAGTAGCACTCATGTCTTTCGAATTTAAGTTCAAGTTCCAATAAGATATTACTCGAAATTGATTCGACTCGACAGCACCCTTAATTCTTAGGACTGTTAATTTCACTGTGCGATCTCAAGTTATTGATTTTCTTTTCAAAAAAGAATCTTCAATCAAGGTAATTGTATCACCTCTAGCACTAGTTTTATAATCTTTCGTTATGACGAATTGAAGCTAATAATATAACAGGAAGAGGATTGTTAAAGATCGAACTGTAGACAGCAAAATTTTACTAACACAGCGTAGTTGAAACTTGTACGAGCCAAATCGATGTCTCTATGACATGGCAACGGTTTTATGTAAAAGACCAAAATGTATGATTCATGTTAACTTTTCACGTGGCGATCATGTCTGAGCCAAACTTGTACGAACCAAAGTTACTTTTATGGGCAAATCCATTTGTCTTCTGACGTGACAATAATACATGTAGCAACATTTGCAAGTGCGTTACAAGTAGGAGGTTCACAATTTATTCATGTTTTAATACTAATACCATGCTCCTACGGGTAGCTCGGACGGTGTGCTCCCCCTCTTTAGGGTATGGCCACTTACCTTGGCAACCAGGTTCGAGTCCCGTTGTTTACGTCTTCGGTGTGGAGTAGGGTCTCCTCTCCCGGAGCGCAGGGAGATTAGTCGGA